CTGCTGAAGCAAACACCAAACTGGCATGAAGTGACTTCCTTGGGTAGCTAAGTTAAAACCTACATCCCACGTTTTAAAGCTTGTAAGGGCTAACACGTGAAATATCCACGGCCTTTATCAACACAAAGTCCAGCAACAGGTTCTCCCCACTACCTCAACGAGCTGATTAAAAACCTCTCAAATAAAAACCTAGATTAAAATCCACCTGCCAGTAAAACCAGTCTCTTCTCCATGGCAACAGCATTCCCAGCTGTGCATACGTTACCTGCTGCGAGGCTGGCACTGGCTGCACTACTGGAGCCTGGGCTGAGGCAGAAGTGTGAAGGGCCACAGAAGCTGCTGAGTCTGATCCACCCTCTGAACTCTGCATGCTCACTGCTGGGGAGAGCAGAAGAGAGGTCAGCAGGGACAGCAGAGCCACACACCGCAGCGAACAGAACGCCCCAGGAACCCGCCTCTGACAGGAACGAAATCCCACTGGAAGATCCAAGGGAAGTGCTAGGAAGGAAGGTAGCTACCTTCCTACACAGAGAGACTCGTTTTAGTCTTGGAGCTAATTTTAATAGGGTATTATATTAAGAAGAAAGAAAGTTGCACAATTGTTCCACAGAAAGGACAGGGAAGGAACAGAAAACGCGCTTCTAAATATAACCGAAAAGTAGCGTTGGAAAATTATTGTGTCATAGTGAGGATAACTTCAGAGCTGGAAGAGTAAGAGTGTATTTTTTAAATCATTTTTTTTCTCCCCCTTCGCCTTATCATGTTTAACTACTGGAAAAAAGAAAGATTTTTGATCCAATTTCAGTATATGTGGCCATCCACTATGGATGATGAAGCCCAACCATCGTCGGGACACCGCTGGTCCTTCCTGCAATGGGGCTTCCCAAGAGCAGACAATGTCATCTGGGGTGTTTGGTGCAGCATGGAGGGGTAGAGGAGTCTTTTTTTCTCAGTTTCTTGTAAAAGTTCCTGTTTAAAAAAATATTTCAGGAGGTTTTCTGCTGTCACTTCAATCCCCAAGGGTTCAGAGATACTCAGAGTTGGAGCAGTGTCACGTCTCCTCTCTCAGCCTCGCTGCTGAGTGTAACATAGCCTCCAAATAATGGCATGAAATCTTTCCCATTTTATTTCCCTTCTCCACCCAACACTTAAACTTCTTCCTCAGCTTCGTGCAAGTTAAGAAGCAAAAGGAAAAAGAAGAAATGGAGGGTGCTGGACCCTGCTCATTCGATAGCTTTTTGTGGTAAAAAGAAATGCAAAGGGGAGGTGAAGTTCCAGAAGTTACCTGTTTGTCCTCCTTCAGCCACTGATAAAAACCCCCAAATATTTAGATTCTTCACAAAACAGGGTTTATTTTCCCATTAGTGCTGACTCTATATTCCCATGCTACCTATTAGCAAATTCCAACAATTCTATTACCCCATTTTTCTTGCATCCAGGAGAAAAAGTAGACACAGAACCCATGTGAACTGGGTTGACTGCTCCAAATCCAGCTACCAGATTAATTTAACCAGCCAGAAACAAGGAAAAGAAATTTAGTTGCTATTTAAGACCATTTGTGTCCCTTTGTAGCCCCATTCCCTGCAGCTCCACTATATAAAGCAGGATCTGCTTCTCCCCATCACTGCCTCCACGTGGGGTTTAGCCAAAACCTCTTCCTGGAGAAGATCCTGATTGTGGGATCATGAAAATCATAATTCTCTCAGTAAATTAATGAAATAACCTGTCCCAGCCCCAAATTATTTGCAACTAAGCATTGGGCCAGCACTGTTGGCAAAGGAGGGAGGTTTGTAAAGCTCATGTGAAGATGCTCAGGGGGAGGAGAGGGGTCACTTCCAGCATAGGTATTCTCCTAACTTTTGGCAGAGTGTTTTACTGTGCCCAAGGCAACAGTTCACAGCTTTCTAGGATTTTATGAGTGGAAAAATAGAGCCCGGTGAGGTTACAGAGAAAAGGTGGAAAAGTTGCCAAATGTATTGTAATGATCTGTTTGAGGATGGTTTCTGGCAGGGTCAGATCTTGGAGCTTCAGGTCTACAGAAAAGGCTCTGAGGTGACCTTATTGTGGCCTTCCAGGATCTTAGGGGGGCTACAGGAAAGCTGGGGAGGGACTTTTTAGGCTATGGGGTAACGACAGAACTAGGGGGAATGGGGCAAAGCTGGCAGTGGGCAGATTCAGGCTGGATGTGAGGAAGAAGTTCTTCCCCATGAGAGTGGTGAGACCCTGGAATGGGTTGCCCAGGGAGGGGGGTGAGGCCCCATCCCTGGGGTCTTTAAGGCCAGGCTGGAGGAGGCTCTGGGCAGCCTGATCTACTGGGAGGTGTCCCTGCTCATGGCAGAGGGGTTGGAACTGGGGGATCCTTGTGGTCCCTTCCAACCCTGACAGATTCTGATCTGTTTTAGCAGAGGACTTTAGAGCCCTAATGGCTCAATGGTTGGACTTGATGATCTTAAAGGTCTCTTCCAACCTAAAGGATTCGATGATTCCAAGTGTAGCTACAATCAGAAAAGGACACTTAAAGAGATACTATCTCAAAATTACCACCGGCTCATTGCTGATAAATTTTGTCTTCTGGTTTCCCTCGGTGACCAAAAGAGACCAGAGAGAGGCAGGCAGGGTGGAAGATGAGGCAGGCAGGGTGGAAGATGAATTAGTCTGCTGCCAAAATAAATCAGGGGTGTTATTCTCAGATTTGTTCCAAAAGGCAGGCTCTGTGCATGATGACAACCAAGCCAGACATAAAGACTCCACTGAAATCTGCAGCTGGCACTTCCAGACAAGGTGGACAGGCACAGAAGGACTGGACCACCAAAGCACACATACAAGACCTCTTATTATTTTGTTTATCAGCAAAACATCCTGGATAAAGAAGAATTCATTTCCCATGAAAGGCATCCTGTGCTTCCTGAGGACTGGAGAGACAGATCCGTGTGTGCCATCTGCCAGCATTAATTTGTGCTGATGAGAAGCTGACAATCTAGGCAGAATTCCTGCGCTCTGAGAAACCATTGCAAGGTTCTCCAAAGCTCTGCTGATGTTCTGGAGCATGGCTACCAAGCGAGCCAGCACCCAAGCCAAGGGCCAGAGGATGGATAAAGAATCAGCTTTCCAGGAGCAGAGGAAATGTGGCATCCAAAGCCTTGCTCTTCCCTCTTCTCAGGAGTTGTGTGTGCCAAGTGAGGAACACCCTTGTAGCTCCTGAATGAGCATCCACCATCAGAGCCTGGCTGTCTGCTTGGGCAGCTCTTTGGCAGTTCCACCACATCCCTACAGCAAATGCCCATGAAAGGACTCGCTGCTCTCCTTCCATCTCATTTCTCACCTCCTGCAGGGGAGGAAGTTTCACAGTGTTCTGGATCATCCTCTCCTAACAGAGACCCGGGGGTTCATCAGTGAGCCCTCCTGATTCCCTCAGATCTAGGATTTGCTGCCTTCCTCTCGGATCCTTCCTCATCCCAGCCCTGCCTGCTTCCCACCCCTGGCTGGGGGACACCTCTGCAGCTCCCTCACAGCAGAAGTGACCAACAGGAGCTATGAAAAGGTGTCTCGTGGCTTCTGACAGCTGGTGGAAGCCTGACAGCTTGGCAGCTCCCCCAGCCCTGGGGAGACTGCACAAACTGAGAAGATAATTAGGAGTGAACCAAGCTGATGAGGGGTCACAGAGAGGACCAGCACCCACAGCTCACAAGGTCCTTACTATGTTCTGAGGAGCAAAAAGACAAGTCAGTGCTTATGCTGGGGAATGAGTAGGTGGGACCTGACCCTGTGTGAGGAACTGAATCACGGTGAGAAGGATCTCACCCAAGACACTGGTGTTTCAGGTAGAGACAAGTTGAAAACTCTGGTTGCTCAGCGTGGCTGGTGATGTCACATGCAGCAAGTGCCTGTGGAAGGCATTGCAGAAATCTGGATTCCAGGTTGCATCATCACAGAATGAATCAGGCAGATAATGAGGCCGCTGCCCCTGGAAACCTCCTGTTTACACACAGCTCCCTCGGTGTCCAAGCCAACAGCAGTGACAGGAAAGGAAATTCAGAAAAAAAAAAACCTAATCACTTCTGGGGGCTATTTGTGGTTCTGCCACCAGCTTGCTCCATGACCTTGAACAGGATGCTTCCCCTTCTCCACGCTTCGATTTTCCCACTCCTAAAAAAGCCACAAGACTCCCCCTAGGCAAGGTATTTTTCTTTTTGCCTGGTCTCAAAGGGCTGTCAAAAGTCTGAATGCATGGGAGAAAGACAAGCAGTAATACTACAAGCCTTGAGGGTTGATAAAAACTCTGGTTGTCACCGTTTCATTCAGGAGCCACGTTGCCTCCACGTAAATAGCCTTCCCTTTGTTAATCTCTCCTGCCTAAACCCTCTCCAAAACGCTGGGGAAGCAGAGATAAGAGGAGCATTTCAAAATATCTTCCATATTCAAATTTGCAGTGAGAGGGGGGAGAAAAGGAGGAGGCAGCAGAAGAATAAACAGCACAGAGCCAGTCGCCGAGAAGGGAAAGCAGCAGCAGCCTCTGCAGTGGGCCCTGAGCTCCCCAAAAGAGCTTGGGAAGGGAGGGGGGTCCATGGGAGAGCCCCCAGTAGTGAGGAGGGTGCCCCTGGATGCCCAGTCTGTGCAGCAGCCCACGAGCTCTTCCATCCAGGAGATGAGGAAGGACTGCAAGTATTTTTCCACAGAATGTTTTAATATAAACTATCAGCTCCCGAACACTCTAACAAACCAAAAAAACCCACTTCAGAGCTGAATGCTGAGCCCTCAGACATCTCACAACAGTCACTATCAGAGCAGGGAGCCTGCCCCAGGGAAATATTTGGTTTATTTGGCTCTGGGGCTCTGGTTCTGAGCTTGCAGGACATGGAAGCACACGGCGGAGCAGCCGTGGCCAGCCCAGCTCCGAGGCTTCCAATAAAAGAGGATTTATAAGCCCCTGGCTTGCTCAGGGCTAGAGTCACTTGTGTTGCACTTGCCCACCGACCAACTCGGTGGTTTTATACTAGAAGAAAATGTCACCATTTGATGTGAATATAACTCTCCTCTCCCTTTATTTTTATGCTTTAAGAGCAGTCTTACATAAAGCAGGGGTGAGACCGGCACAGCCTTGGCTCTCGTGGGGTATTTAGGTCTTGTATTTACATATCATTAATTTTTTAAGGTGCAAATGTAAACCACATTAGCTAGTCCACACCAGCAGCCACTGAACACTCTCTAAAATCCAGAATCATCATACAGTGACACCAGTGCTGCTTTCTAAAGACCAAAATTGTTACTGTCTCAGCGAATCACTTGCTCATTTGAAGCAGATCATGAACTATTTTATCTAATTTGCTTTTCAAAGCTTATTTGGTCATCCTTTGATCTTATTTAAACTCT